GCAGGCAGAGGATTAGCCTAGTGAGCCATGGCACCAGCCCCAAAAGACTTTTTAAGTCCATTGAAGATAATGAAGGTGAAAGCAAAAGTTTGTGTACTCATACTGTTACCGTATCATCTTGACTGCACTGTGTTCACCTGGAGAGGTGACTTTGTTACACATCAGTTTGCAGAAATCCTAGTCAGGCCATAAGAAGGGTTCCTGAGAGAACTAGAAAATAAGAACATGGGAAGACAGCAGAATGTTGTGACTGTGACTTTGTGTCATCCGTCTGTGTCAGTTTCTCTTCGTTGGGATCTCTGAGGAAGGGAGCTTTGTTTTGCCCTCAGTGAAAATTTTCCTCTGCAGATTGATGCTTTCTCTTTGACCTGTGTCTGTGCAGGCACTCGGGTCATTACTGCTCATTTGTCACTTAACACAATCTCCTCTGCCAGTTTTTTAACTTTTACCTGGCAAGTACATTGTAAAATGTTTGTAATTCTTAAATATCTTCCTCTGCAGCCTCCTCAAAGGGCCATCACTGGGAAGATTCTGAATTCATAACACAAAATTGTTTTGCTTCTTTTTGTTTCTTATCAACACCCAGGAATATGTGGCACATCACAGCCTCTTGTGATAGAGGTGGCCGTGTGCCAACTGTCCCCGTCCCCAGAGCTAAGTCTTTCAAGGTAGGAAGGTGTTTTATTCATTTCGGCCTGTCCAGCTCCTAGCGTAGTGTAGATAGTCGGTAAATAGTCGTGGATGGACAGATGGCAGGTGAACACACTTACGGGTGAGTAAAAGCATTTGTGAGTGAGGGGACCCACAAACCTGTCCATCTGTGATCTCATTCTGCAGGTCCTCACAGACTTGGTTCCACGCTACTAAACTTTATGTCACCAAGATCATAAGAGGTCTCCTTGATACATACTCTATCATGATCCCTCTTCAGCCCTGCTTTGGCTGTTCCCACGCCTCACTGTCTCTCCCGTGATTCTCCTGCCGCTCTTCCCCCAGCTCCTTCCCTTCTCCTTTGTAGACTCCTCTTTGTATCTAAGATATTCTTGATTCTTGGAGTTGTCCATGGGTGCAACTCTAGCCCCGCACCCGCCTTGCCTAACCACAACGATAAGAGGTTATTACAGGTCGCTACGTGCAGTCAGCACGTGATTTTTGAGGGACTCTTCCTTCAGAACAACCCTCACATTCAGTCATAACCACAGGTTCCGTGGTTCCGTTTATAGTAGTTTTGAAATGCAGTTTCCTGTCAAGGTAGCAGTGACATTAATGTATATTTTTTCTTGATTCATTCAACAAAGGACTTGAAGCATTGTTGAAAACCATAATTTACAAGTAAAAGTTAAAATGGGTTTATAGTCAGTGTCTTTTCATGTTTTATTTTAAATTTTGACTTTTTAAAGTAAATAATATTTTTAAGGCAAAACATCTCTCACCCTGTCCCTTTCCCGATTTCATCCCTGGAGGGAACCAGTAGCAGCAGACTTTTCAGATTGAAATTATTTAAGGGATCAGAGGGAACCAGTAGCAGCAGACTTTTCAGATTGAAATTATTTAAGGGATCAGAGGGAACCAGTAGCAGCAGACTTTTGTGTTTGAAATAATTCAGGAGACCAGCATTGTAGTACAGTAGGCTAAGCTACCACTTGGGATGCCAGCATTCTATTTCAGGGCACTGGTTTATGTCCTGGCTACTTAGCTTTTCCAGCCTCTTGCTAATGTACCTGGGAAGGCAGCAGAAGTTGGCCCAAGTACTTGGGCCCCTGCCATCCATGTGGGAGACTGGAATGAGTTCCTACCTCCTGGTGTGAGCCTTGCCCAGACCTGGCTGTTGCAGGTATTTGGAGAGTGAGCTAGAAGCATGCTCTCTCTCTGTTGCTCTGCATTTGGAAGGAAGAGTCTTTAAAAAAAAATAATAAACATAGACTCTCCCCCCTCCCCCGTGTTTATATAGATCTTAATGTACCATAAGTACTGTTTTACACCTTGCTCTTTTCACTTAAAAATTTACCTTGGAGATATTTCCAAAGTCAGGAATTAAAAATTACATGGCTTGAGTCCTCTGCTGAGGCATAGAGCAATAAGCCATTGCCTGCAGTGTCGGCATACCATATAGGCGCCAGTTTGAGTCCTGGCTGCTCCACTTCTGATCCAGCTCCCTGCTGATGCACCTGGGAAAGCAGCAGAAAATGGCCCAAGTCCTTGGCCCATGCACTCATGTGGGAGTCCCAGAAGAAGCTCCTGGCTCCTGGCTTCAGCCTGGCCTGGCCCCAGCTGTTACAGCCATTTGGGGAGTGAACAGCAGATGGCAGATCTCTCCTCTCTCTCTCTTTCTCTCTTGCTCTCTTTCCTTCCCCCCACCCCCTTCCTTCTCTGCTTTTCAAGTAAATAAATAAGTCTTTTTAAAAAATTACATAACTTGTTCAGCCATTCCCTACTGGTGGGAACTTAACCCTCCATCGGTAGGGAGGAACCTTGTACACACACGACTTTGTTTCTTGCCTTCTACAATTGTTTCTTGAGCACCTCCTCTGTGCTTAGCAGTGTTCTGGGAATTTAATAGTGAACGTACAGGCCCCGTTCTCATGGAGGTTGCATTTAAATTGTTGAGACAGACAAGAGCATAGAAATAAGGCAACAAGTCCATGTAACAAATGGTTAGGGATGGTAAGTGCTTTGAAGAGAAATAATGTCAAGATTTCCCTGAAGAGAGGAAAGATAGATGCTGGTGTGATTAGTGCAGGGGAGCCTCACCATCTCCACAAGGTCTTAAGACCCACAGCATGGTGGGGGTGCTGGGGAAATAGTATTCTAGTGACCTATCTAGGGTCATGTGTCATGTTCACTTTTAAGTCTTCCTCCTCACACCCAAGGCCAATGGCTTTGAACCTTTCAGGATGGTTAGATAGTATGTGTGTGTGTACTGCAGCCATTTAGAGGGGACACAGACAACTATAAGGGTTAGACAATATCTGAGGGTTTTGTTTTGATTTTTGTTTATTTGTTTTGTTTTTACATACTTGCCAGGAAGCAGTGTCCTAGATTCTCTGAGAACATGGGCCTTCCAGCCAGACTGTTCTCTGTCGGGGTGGTACCAACAACTCTTTTTCTTCACAATGTGAAAGAAGTAGGTGTTTGTCATCCAAACCCTCTGGGGGTGTGCACCGGAAATTTCCTTGTGTGTGGAATGAGCTGGCACCGAGGGAGAGTACAGCAGTAGGATGATTTGTGAACTACAGGAAGCCTCGAATGAGAACAACAGGAAAAGGAGCAGGGAGAAGTTAAGAGCCCAAAGGAGAAAGGCCTTCCTGTTCCCACATTACCTTGTTCGTGTTTAATACCAAAAGCCATTTGGGGCTGGTGCTGTGGTATAGCGGGTAAAGCCACCGCCTGCATCCCATGTGGGCTCCGGGTCGAGTCCCGGCAGCTCTACTTCTGACCCAGCTCTCTGCTATGGCCTGGGAAATCAGTAGAAGACAGCCCAAGTCCTTGGGCCCCGGCACCCACATGGCAGACCCAGAAGAAGCCCCTGGCTCCTGGCCTCAGATCGGTGAAACTCCAGCTGTTGTGGCCATCTAGGGAGTGAACCAAAAGATAGAAGACCTTTCTCTCTCTCTCTCTCTCTGCTCCTGCCTCTCTGTAACTCTGCCTTTCAAATGAATAAATAAATCTTTTTTTAAAAAAATAAAGAGTGATCAGTACTTTGTGGGTATCAGGGAGTGAGCTAGAATTCCTGGGAACATTAACTCAGTGCATCTTGCCAACAGCTGTACACTCTGTAGGTGTGGGGCACCCTAGCCAGCACTGGTCCCTTCACGGCACTCTGACCCTCTGCTCTCATCTAGCATGTCACAGCCTCTCGTGGTAGAGGTGGCCGTGTGCCAACTGCCCCCATCCCCAGAGCTAAGTCTTTCGAGGTGGGAAGGTGTTTTATTCATCTCAGCCTGTCCAGCTCCAAGCATAGTGTAGATAGTCGGTAAATAAGTCGTGGATGGACAGATGGCAGGTGAACACACTTACGGGTGAGTAAAAGCATTTGTGAGTGAGGGGACCCACAAACCTGTCCATCTGTGATCTCATTCTGCAGGTCCTCACAGACTTGGTCCCATGCTACTAAACTTCATGTCACCAGGATCACAAGGGTCCTTGAAAAGAGAGTCTGTCAGGATCCCTCTTCAGCCCTGGTTTGACTTGCTTCCACTTGCTTCTCCCGTGGTTCTCCTCCCACTCTTCCTCCCAGCTGCTTGGCAGCTCCTTTCCTTCTTTGTAGAATCCTCTGTACCATCTTCCAATCAAGGAGCCCCAGGCCACTGCCTGAGAGCACTGGAAAGATCTACGCCCCTGCTGTGGGTGGCACTTCGCAAGGTTCTTGTCTTTCGGTGGAATCTGGGCTCCAAGGATACAGCCATGAACAGAACAGTCAAGGTCCCTGCACTCTTGAGCCCGTGTTCTGGTGGGGGCAACAGAAGGCACATTCAGACAGGATCATTTCAGATAATGAGGCATGCCCAAAAGAAAATCAAAAGGAAATGGCAAAAGCCAGCTGTCTCATCCCCTCCGTACTGTGACAGTACAGTCAAATAAAGATCTGACGACTTCACTCTAGGTAGAGGTGGCAGTGAAAAATGCTGAAATGGTGCGAGGAACCATCCGGACCCATGTCTGGAAACTGTAGCTTAGTGCAGAAGAGCACAGCTCTGGAGCCGTGCTGCCTACATTCATACTGCAGCCCTCACCCCTGGGCTGGGTGCTTCTGCATAGATGCCTCTACCCTGTCTCCGTCTCTAGCAGCAAAGGGGGTGGGAGGTGGTTAAATTAATTGTACCACGTGGCCAGGTTTCATCCAGGGTTAGTGAAGCAGTGTTATAAAGCCCTTCATCAGAGTCTGGTCTGGAAAATGCTGTCATTAGGAGCAGGCCATGTTTTTTTTTTGTTTTGTTTTGTTGTGTTGTGTTGTGTTGTGTTTTAACTGTCTCCTATCTTTGCTTTGTTTTGACTTTCAGCTCCAGGGCTTGAGCCACAATGTGATCTTCACCTTGGATTCCCTGTTAAAAGGAGACCTAAAGGGAGTCAAAGGAGTAAGTGTTTGGAAATTCTGATTTTCGCTTTAACCTGAAAAGATTGATTTTCCTCCCCCCTTTTAAGATCCCAGAACTGCTTGTACTTGAAAGGCTCTGGACATTTGTAGCATAAAAACTGTCCTTGGAAAGTGAGCACTGGAAAAGGTGTGCGACTTGAATAATGGTATTGACAGTGGAATGACATTAGGCACTTGGAGGAAGATTGGCAGGCGTCTTGGCGGGGGGGCGGGGGGGGGGGAAGCTGGGCCTGAATCTTGGCTTGTCGAGTGGGGCCACTTTGGACCAGCCCCTCAGAGCTCAGTCTTGTCCTGTGTTAACAAACTGCACAGCAGGCAGATACTTGTCTTGAGAAACGTTTCAGGTGCCCTACAAAGGAAGTCATTTTTGCCAACACTCCAAAAAATATTCATTCTAAGCAAATGTAAATGTAATGTCAGTTTTCTTTGTTTCTTTTTTAAGGATCTCAAGAAGCCGTTTGATAAAGCCTGGAAGGATTATGAGACAAAGTTGTAAGTGACTTTCTGTTTCCATTGGTCATGAGTTTCATGGCACCTTTCTCCTGCCAGGACTCACACTCAGTGGTTTTTACGGGCATGACCTCCTAACAGTAACTTGCTTGTGTGCAGTTTTCCTTCAGCTTGTGTGTCAGCAAGCAGAACATTCTAAACTAGTAACTGCCAAGTAGGCATTCACTTAGGGCTGTCTGAGCCTGGAACCCGAGTGAGCGTAGCGTGAGCACTGGAATCAGATCAGCTACCTTGTGTATTTACTGAGGTGAGGTAGCTGTGAGGGATTAGAGAGATAAGAACTTTGTGTGGTACCTGGCCCATCTTCATACTCTACATTAATCATACGTGTTCCTTTATTACTATTATTCCAAGACATTTGTTACATCAGGCAATAGGGTACGGTACTAGTAGGTAGATATTTCAAAGCTTTTAATAGAAGTCTTGGCTATAATTTTGGATAACTATAAAAGTAAGAGAATAAAAGATACTCCTGTAGGCATATAGCAATAACAGCAGAATGAATATAGAAGCAAAATGAAAACAGATTAAGGGTGAAATATGCTTTTCCCCAACTACTTTCATAATCGCTTACATAATAAGTGCATTGTTGGGGACTTGTTGTCTTAAGAATACTTTGTACACTGACAGTTATAAATACAGCTGGGAACAAAAAGGTTCTTAAAATGGTCAACTGATGTAAATGAACGCGGTGAGCCATCATGTTTTGCTGTGTGAAAAGTGGGTCATGAATACTTAAAAATGCGTGTGAGCTAAGTACTGCACCTGCCCAGAGGTGACTCTTCAGCATATGGAATGGAACAGATTGAAGTACTTCCAGAGTGGGCCATGCATGTCCATAAAGTAGGGAGAAAATGCCTTGCTCTGGGCTTATAGAATGTCTCCATTATAGGACACAACAACAAGAAAATATGACGTGCTTTGCCAGCTATAGTGCTACTAGTATTAGATGGAACAAGTATGATGCTATTTTTCTTTAAAAAAAAAAAAATCTGTGGGTTGAAGACCCTGCTGTAGGTGGTGGTCAGTATTGTGAGTATCATAGGATATACGAAGCATTCTCAGGTGACCCAGCTGCAGTCAGTGCCCTTCTCTCACAAGTCACAGACTTGTCTGGCCTTTGGTTTGGATCATCCTCCAGAAACTACACTAGATGAGAGCAGCAACGAGGTTGGTAGGTTCTTAGGTGGGGGATGTTAAACTTCCCGCACCTAGTGGGAGCCTTCAGCACACAGGTTGTACACTGCGTGCGTATTTACTGAAGGAATAAAGGGAGTAGCCAGACCTGGAAGCATGTTACAAAAACAGTGAGTTAAGCGGGTGCTGATTTTAAGACCCGAGGGAAGGAGGCTTTGTTTTCCTAAAATAGAGTCCTTTCTCACTGATGTGTAGTGGTATGGTGCAGGGGCAGGGAAAACCAGCTGATGTTTTAGACTCATTTGATTATAAATTACAGAAAACAAAATGACTGATAGGCAAAAAGCCTAATTTTTTTTCTGTGCTTTTCCATTTAGAACTTGGAAGGTATTGAAGTATAATGGTTAAGATTATAGACTTAGGCATCATTACAACTTTTGGGACCTTGAGCCAAGATACTTAACTTAGATGATCCCTACTTGTAAAATATTATAAAAATTAACCTTTCTTAAGGTTTTTGTGAAGAAAAGATAAGGTATTGGAGAGCAGCTGTCATGCAGCACAGAAGAGTCATGTAAAAAATAGTTTCTATTGGGTTTTTTAATAATCAAATTTTATTTGGTCAAAATAATGTAACATAAAGGAGAACATCCAGTGGTACTTGTATCGAGAGAAATTCCAAATCCCATTGGCCCCGACACTGTAGAACTTTATCACAGAATTAAACTCTTCTAGAATGGGTCAGGTGCCCATCTGTGTTACCCTGCAGCATCTGCACTCAGTGAGCTCATGCTGTACCCGTGAGCCAGGCTCTGCACGCATGGTGAAGGGGAGAAACACTGAAGTAGGCTGGCTGCACGTGTGCTTCTCCTGAGAACACAGCGGCCTCTGCCCGCCGCACCCACTTCTGGTAGTCGCTCTCCTCGCCGCACCCACTTCTGGTAGTCGCTCTCCTCTTACAGCTCTTTCCTCTGGTTCGTCTAAGATCGAAGATCCCCCAATACTCTGCTATCCTTTCTCCCTCATCTGTGCTGTATTGCTAAGACAGACAAAGACCGAACTCCCTTGCAATACCACCTCATTACTTTTCCACCCCCTTTCATCCAGTATGGTAAATGCAGCGATTTTTGGTCAAATCAATTTTGGACTGAATTTTTAGTTGTGAATATTTGAATATGATTTTCTTTTCTGATAGTTCAATGACATGCTTTTTTCTTAATGACACAATTACCTCATTGCTTTAGTTTCTAAACACATCTTTTCTGAGTTTTTATCATCTGCTCCAACAGATGTCACACTTTCCAGTATTTCTGTTCTAGAAATACATTACAAAATTTATTACACTGATTATATATGTGTGTGTGTGTGTCTGTGTGTGTGTGTGTCTGTGTGTGTGTATATATATATATATATATATATGTTATCATTAAATTATCTTTCAGTTCTTTCTCTGTCCTGGAGATATGGTTTGCCAAAGCTCCTTATATTAGCAATATAGCTGTCACCCTGGGATGGCACTTTGACTCGCAAGGTTTAAACCTACTTCCTCTTTCCTGGTGTAGTCTGTTTTGCTGGCCTACTGCCTCCAGGAGTTTCCAAGAAACCGCTCTACAGGGGTAAAAATCGCAAACTTTAAGTGTCCAAAAATGTCTTTATTCTACTATCTATACACAGAATGAGAGTTTGGTCGATAACTCTTGTTCTCTCAAACTATTGAAGGCATTGTTCCCTCATGTTTTGATTTCTAGGGTTGCTAATTTTTAAAAACATGATGCCTTTCTCATTCCCGTTTATTTTTATATGACATGTGGTGGTTTGCTTGTTACTGTGTTGTGTTTTGCAGTCCAGATGTACTAAGGTCATCTCTTTGTAAAGGTTTTACAAAGAGTTTTCATGTACATAGTGCTTGAAGTTCTTTTTGCTGTTTTTGTATTTGCCGTCTTTAGTTCTTTAATTCTGGAAATATTTATTGTAATTCCTTCTGCTGCTTTTGTTTGTATTTTGCTAAAACTCCTCTTCTGGACTTCCTGGACTGTTGGCATTTTCTTCTAATTTCTGTTCTGTCTTAATATATTTTAGGTTATTTGTTCATTGTTTTTCCCCTCACTTTTTCAGACATTTTTATTTTTGCTATCATATTTCAAATTTTTAAAAACATTTTCTCAATCAGGGTATCTCTTGATAAAATTCCCTTTTATTTCTTTTGTTTCATCAATGCAATATTTCAGCAGAGGATTTGACGTTTTATAAAATTTACCTGCTTCCTTGGTGTCTCTCATTCGTCCCCGCCCTCCCCCTTGGGTATTGTGCCCACTCACTGTCATTTTAGAGGCTCTCCTTAATTATCTTAGAATCTCTTACTGTCCTTTTCATGTTTCAGAGCAAGGCACTCCAGGACAGATGGAAAGCTCATACACTTCGGCAGGAGCCGCCCAAAAAACAATGACCCCTCTTTCTAAGGGGGTTTAGGTTTTAGGATGCCGAGACAGTTGTCCTATTCAGTAGGGATATTCTTTTTTTTTTTAACTTTTATTTAATGAATATAAATTTCCAAAGTACAGCTTATGGATTACAATGGCTTCCCTCCCATAACGTCCTTCCCACCCGCAACCCTCCCCTTTCCCACTCCCTCTCCCCTTCCATTCACATCAAGATTCATTTTCGATTCTCTTTATATACAGAAGATCAGTTTAGCATACATTAAGTAAAGATTTCAACAGTTTGCTCCCACACAGAGACATAAAGTGAAAAATACTGTTTGAGTACTAGTTATAGCATTAAATCTCAATGTACAGCACACTAAGGACAGAGATCCTACATGAGGAGTAAGTGCACAGTGACTCCTATTGTTGACTTAACAAATTGACACTCTTGTTTATGGATCAGTAATCACCCTAGGCTCTTGTCATGAGCTGCCAAGGCTATGGAAGCCCCCTGAGTTCACCGACTCTGATCATATTTAGACAAGGCCATGGTCAAAGTGGAAGTTCTCTCCTCCTTTCAGAGAAAGAAGAGAAAGGTACCTCCTTCTTTGATGACCCATTCTTTCCACTGGGATCTCACTTGCAGAGATCTTTCATTTAGGGTTTTTTGTTTTGTTTTGTTTGTTTGTTTGTTTTTTGCCAGAGTGTCTTGGCTTTCCATGCCTGAAATACTCTCATGGGCTTTTCAGCCAGATCCGCATGCCTTAAGGGCTGATTCTGAGGCCAGAGTGCTGTTTAGGACATCTGCCATTCTATGGGTCTGCTGTGTATCTACTTCCCATGTTGGATCGTTCTCTCCCTTTTTGATTCTATCAGCTAGTATTAGCAGACACTATTCTTGTTTATGTGATCCCTTTGACTCTTAGATCTATCATTATGATCAATTGTGAATAGAAATTGATCACTGGGACTAGTGAGCTGGCATTGGTACATGCCACTTTGATGGGATTGAATTGGAATCCCCTGGTATGTTTCTAACTCTACTGTTTGAGGTAAGTCAGCTTGAGCATGTCCAGAATTGCACATCTCTTCCCTCTCTTATTCCCACTCTTATATTTAACAGAGATCACTTTTCAGTTAAGTTTCAGCACTTAAGAATAATTGTGTATTGATTCCAGTATTCAACCAAAAGTATTAAGTAGAACAAACAAAAAAAATACTAAGAGGGATAACATATTAAGTTCATCAACAGTCAGGGTGAGGGCTGATCAAGTCACCGTTTCTCAGTGTTCATTTCTCTTTAACAGGTTTCCTTTTTGGTGCTCAGTTAGTTGTCACCTATCAGGGAGAACAAGTGGTATTTGTCCCTTTGGGATTGGCTTATTTCACTCAACATAATGTTTTCCAAATTCCTAACAGGGATCACTTTTCAGTTAAATTTAAACACCTAAGAATAATTGTGTGTTAATTACAGAGTTCAACCAATGGTACGAGAACAAAAAAAATACCAAAATGGATAAAGTATTACATTGTACATCAACCATCAGGACAATTCTAAAAGTCTATCTTCAGCTTCCTTTCTAGAGATTGTGCCCATGGTGATGTTCTGAAACTGTGCAAGCGAGGGAGGCACGCAGCCCTCTAGTGCAAGGTGCTTGCTTCTCCATTGCTCCTCTTCCCTCTTCACTCCTGCTCTTCCCTTTATGTCTTCAATTCTTCTTGTCTTTTGGAGATAATACCTTTTATGCCTTTACTGTCATTTTAGTGGGATCCCTGGAAGAAGAAGTAGACCAGTGATGATCAGGTCACCCTGGTAAACCAGTAGGCTGTTATTACTCACTAGGGCCTGACCCCTCGCGTTTGTTCTCAAGCCACTGATTGCTAAGGTAACATGACTAAAGAATCGCTTAGGTGTAGTATTGGGATATTAGAGTAAATCCCAATCAGGTGGGAGTGGATTTTCCCTTGGTGCGATGGGTTGGTTTTCTTTTTTTTTTTTTTTTAAGATTTATTTTATTTATTTGAAAGACAGAGTTACAGAGAGAGGTAGAGACAGAGAGATCTTCCATCCACTGCTTTACTCCCCAGATGGCCACAATGGCCAGAGCTGCACTGATCCGAAGCTAGGAGCCAGGAGCTTCTTCTGGGTCTCCCATGTAGGTGCAGGGGCCCAAGGACTTGGGCCATCTTCCACTGCTATCCCAGGCCATAGCAGAAAGCTAGATTGGAAGAAGAGCAGCTGGGACTAGAACCAGCAGCCATATGGGATGCCGGCGCTTCAGGCCAGGGCATTACCATGCTGTACCACAGCACCAGCCCCTGATGGTTTCATTTTCCACTGTGTTTGTATGTGGACAAGGATATTGGCTTTCTTTGGGCTTTAATTCCCCACACCACCACCACCACTACCACAACTTAAAGAAGAAACTTAAATCACCTAGCCTTTGCATTCAGAACAGGAAATTAGAGGCTGTTTCTGAAATTAGAAGTCCATTTCCATGGTTGTAAAAAATTTTTATTATCATGTATTTCACAGATAGAATTCTAAGAAAATAACCATAGTTCCCCCCACCCTCAGTCCTCGCCCCTCCTTGTTTAGACTATGATTCTTGGTATTGCCAGTATATCATTTGCCATAGTCAAAGACTAGCCTAGGGTACTGTAGGGTTTTTTTTGTTTGTTTTTTGTTTGTTTGTTTGTTTTGCCAGACTGAGTTAGACAGTGAGAGAGTTATAGGCAGTGAGAGAGAGACAGAAAGGTCTGCCTTCCGTTGGTTTATTTCCCTAGTGGCCGCTAAGGCTGGCGCTGCGCCGATCCGAAGCCAGGAGCCGGGTATTTCCTCCTGGTCTCCCATGTGGGTGCAGGGACCCAAGCACTTGGGCCATCCTCCGCTGCCCTCCTGGGCCACAGCAGAGAGCTGGACTGGAAGAGGAGCAACCAGGACTAGAACTGGTGCCCCAACCAGGACTAGAACCCGGGGTGCTGGCGCCACAGGCGGAGGATTAGCCCAGTGAGCCACGGCGCCGGCCAAGGTACTGTAGGGTTAATATGTACATTTCTTGTTGTGAGTGACCAATTCTCCTCTTCCCTCCCCTCACTCAAGAATGTTTTCATAGGACTGCAAATTATACATTGGGTTTTCTCCCTGTCCTTATTTTATACAATCCAGTGCTATGTGGTTGAATAATTAAAATGTGTTATTGACATGTGGGAATAGCCCATTTGGAGCCTGTTGGAAATTACCTTTGATTTAATTTCTGTGCATACCCACAAAAAAATCTTAGATGCTTGGTCTTGAAATAATTCCAAGTCTCTATCAGTACTCAAGAAAAGTCTCAGTCTTCAATTTTTTTGATGCTTTTTCACCAGAAAATGCTTTACCCAAAAAAAGATAGACTAACAAAATTTCTTCATGCCAACTAAAATGTAAGAATTTACATTACATTACATGAATTTATCATGTGGAAGATCAGAGTTATAATGTAAGAAGTTTCCTAGATAAAAATCCATCCTATGCAAGTGTTTTCTTTGTTTTTTTTTTTATTTAGTAAATATAAATTTCCAAAGTACAGTTTATGGATTACAATGGCTTCCCCCCCCCCATAATTTCCCTCCCACTTGCACCCCTCCCATCTCCCGCTCCTTCTCCCATTCCATTCACATCAAGATTCATTTTCAATTATCTTTATTTACAGAAGATCGATTTAGTATATATTAAGTAAAGATTTCATCAGTTTGCACCCACACAGAAACACAAAGTGTAAAATACTGTTTCAGTACTAGTTATAGCATTACTTCACATTGGACAACACATTAAGGACAGATCCCACATGAGAAGTAAGTACACAGTGACTCCTGTTGTTGACTTAACAATTTGACACTCTTGTTCATGGCATCAGTAATCTCCCTAGGCTCTAGTCATGAGTTGCCAAGGCTATGGAAGCCTTTTGAGTTCACAGACTTCGATCTTATTCAGACAGGGTCATAGTCAAAGTGGAATTTCTCTCCTCCCATCAGAGAAAGGTACCTCCTTCTTTGATGACCTGTTCTTTCCACTGGGATCTCACTCGCAGAGATCTTTCATTTAGGTTTTTTTTTTTTTTTTCCCAGAGTGTCTTGGCTTTCCATGCCTAAAATACTCTCATGGGCTCTTCAGCCATATCCGAATGCCTTAAGGGCTGATTCTAAGGCCAGAGTGCTATTTAGGACATCTGCCATTCTATGAGTCTGCTGTGTATCCCGCTTCCCATGTTGGATCGTTCTCTCCCTTTTTGATTCTATCAGTTAGCATTAGTAGACACTAGTCTTGTTTGTGTGATCCCTTTGACTCTTAGATCTATCATTATGATCAATTGTGAACTGAAATTAATCACTTGGACTAGTGAGCTGGCATTGGTACATGCCACCTTGATGGGATTGTATTGGAATCCATTGAAGTGAAATGGACACTATGAGAAACAGTGACTTGATCAGCTCTTGTTCTGACTGATGTGCAATGTAATACTCTATCCATTTTAGTATTTTTTTGGTTTTGTTCTAGTACTATTGGTTGAACTCTGTAATTAACACACACAATTATTCTTAGGTGTTTAAATTTTAACTGAAAAGTGATCCCTGTTAAATATGAGTGGGAATAAGTGAGGGAGGAGATGTACAATTTGGGACATGCTCAATCGGACTTGCCCCAAATGGTGGAGTTAGAAAAGTGTTTTCTTTGAATTGAGATGTTTGCTTCTGGTTGATTCTATCAATTTAAATATTCTTAACATTAGTAATTGAGAAATAATAGATGGTTTTCAGTAAAGTCTTGAGTGTGGTTTGCTTTTAATAGACTTTCTTTTTGAGCAGAAGGCGGAGAGTTTGCCTCAACACATACACAGCCTCCCCTGCTTTCAGGGATCCCCACCAGAGTGGTGCATTTGATGAACATACATTGACACGTTGTTATCATCCAGAGTCTCTTGGCGTTGTACATGAATGCCTTTTTTTAATGATGACATCTGCTTCATTCCAGTACAAAAATTGAGAAGGAGAAAAGAGAGCACGCAAAACAGCACGGCATGATCCGCACGGAGATAACAGGAGCCGAGATCGCAGAGGAAATGGAGAAGGAAAGGCGTCTGTTTCAGCTGCAGATGTGCGAAGTAAGAACAGACTGCGTCCCGGCCTGGGTTCAGCACGGAAATCTAGTCAGCAGTCTTTATGTGCACAGGCAGGCTGTGTGTGACTAGAGGAGGGGACCGTTTCTTAAGGATTCTAATCTCCATTTTTCTCCAAGCCTTTTGGGACCCACCATGGCACTGTTGTCTCATAATTTGAGCCTTGGTCCTATGGGGCTCTTTAAGCCAAAACAGGATTCTTTGGTGAGAACTTTGACGTTGCTTGTGAGTGATCATGCGGGAAAGAAAGATTTGATGAGGGGTAACACTGGTGAATATTGTCATTGGTACGGGTTTAGAGCATGTTTGTTTTTTTTTTTTTTTTAACCATATGTCCAGTTGAATGAAATCTTAAGTAGTCATTAAGGAAGGCTGACTTCCTGAAAACTTGCAGTGAAAAGCATGCTGCTTACAACTGAGTGCAGGGTTTCTCAAGCTGAACTTGTGTAGGATGCTGGCATTCTGTCCTAGGGAGCAAGCCCTGCCAGCTCTGCTGTGGACTAGTGGAGTCACCTTACTTTACAGAAACAGGTAAAGGGGAGATGGTTCATAGCTTAAAGTTTTTCTCCCCTCTCTCTCTCTCTCTCTCTCTCTCTCTCTATATATATATATATATATATATTTTTTTTTTTTTTTTTTTGACAGGCAGAGTGGACAGTGAGAGAGAGAGACAGAGAGAAAGGTCTTCCTTTGCCATTGGTTCACCCTCCAATGGCCGCCGTGGCTGGCACGCTGTGGCCGGCGCACCGCGCTGATCCAATGGCAGGAGCCAGGTACTTATCCTGGTCTCCCATGGGGTGCAGGGCCCAAGCACTTGGGCCATCCTCCACTGCACTCCCTGGCCACAGCAGAGAGCTGGCCTGGAAGAGGGGCAACTGGGACAGAATCCGTAGTCCCGACCGGGACTAGAACCTGGTGTGCTGGCGCCGCAAGGCAGAGGATTAGCCTAGTGAGCTGTGGCGCTGGCCTCTCCTCTATATTTTCTTTCTTTTTCTTCTTCAAAAGCCTCTGGTTCTTGAGCCCAACTGCTCAAGAATACTTTCTCTCAATAAAACAAGTGAGCAGAAAATTTTGGCCAGCAGTGAAAAATCAAAAGCAACAGTGTTTAGTTAACTGCATAAATTAATAATAGGTTGTTTGCATTTTTATTCTTTCATTGTCGAAAAGGAACAAAAAAATTCTTTCTGATTCACCTTCTTGCTGTCAGTTCCGCTGTCTCAGAACATATTCCACAAAGGCAATGCTACTTTACCTCTAACTGCAAAAGGCAACCTATGTTTCAGATTTTGACCATATGACCTATAAGCTTGAGATCCACTGCATCAGAGGGAAATAATAAGTTTTTCTAGAATGTTGTGGCTGCCTGTTACTTCTGCTTGTATGATAAACTAATCATCGGAATTTATAAAAATGCTAACATTTAACCAGTTTGTTTTATACACTTTGCCAAAAGGGAATACTGGTTCCCTATACTAAGCTCGAATTGTCGCAAGGCCACTGGGGCTCATTAATGTGTGCATATTCACAAGTGTTGGTCTGCCAGCTAAACCAAGAACTAAAGAACCCTGTCTGCAATTAACAACATAAAGTTCTATTTTATTTCTACAGTATCTAATTAAAGTTAATGAAATCAAGACCAAAAAGGGCGTGGATCTGCTACAGAATCTTATCAAATATTATCATGCACAATGCAAGTAAGTAGAAAATTGCTTCATTATTTTTACCCAAGTAAGATCCCCTTCATGTCATTGCTTTTCTTTTTTTTTTTCTTTTTTTTTTTTTTTTTCAAGATTTTGAAATGCAGTGTTACAGAGAGAGAGGGGAGAAACAGAGAAAGAGATCGTCCATCTGTTAGTTCACTCCCCAAATGGCTGGGGCTGGGTCAGGCTGAAGCCAGGAGCTTCTTCCAGGTGTCCCACAAGGGCACAGGGGCCCAAGCACTTGGGCCATCTTCCACTGCTTTCTCAGGCACATTATCAGGGAGCTAGATCAGAAGTGGAGCCCTCTAGTGGGGACTCATACCGGCACCCATATGGGATGCTGGGGTCACTAATCAGGTGAAATAATGCAAACTTTTTATACAAGCGGCAGGCTAACGTTTTCCATCAGTGCCACTGCTCTGAAATCCTGTGTGTCAAGTATGTGTTTGTTGAAACACATGAATCTTTGGAAGCTGAATGAAGTCTGACTTTCTCTTGCATTATCTTCAGTTCAGGCCCCTAACTCCTTGTAGTGTCAGTTTGACTTCATGATATCCCACTGCTTACCAAGTCTTTCTCTCCATTTTGAGTTAAAATATGATCCAAACAGGAGGAATTTTTCTGCATACAGATGAGTATATACATTAAGAAATCACCGTGTTAGGACTAAAACTAATTGATAGTGTCTGTGTGGTATCTTCTATCAGGTGTCAAATATTGTTATAAATACTAAAATGAATTTTATAACTGTCTTGTGAAGATAAATGTGGTAGACAGTAAGTATATAAATGGGTAGCTGCAAATTTTGTAAGTAATTTTAGTTTCTTTTTTATATTGCTTATAAATCTCTAACATTTTCTATTGTAGTTTCTTCCAGGATGGCTTGAAAATAGCTGATAAACTGAAACAGTACACTGAAAAATTGGCTGCTGACTTATATAATGTAAGTTTTTTTTTGTTTGTATTTTTTACAAAATACATACATCTTAACCCTCTTTCATGGGTAAATATCTTTCAATTTGAAATCTGTGTTAGATTAATAAAGCAGGAAGTGTTTAGTAATGTGTCGGAACCCAGAGCAGACAAGCCTTCCGCTGAACTCATCAGTGCCCGTGTGTTTCAGAGTACCTTCTCAGGGCTTGGGAGCAGCAGCGGAAGGGAATAGAGAAGCTTCCGTCCTGGCTGGCTCTCCACTGAGGTTCAGTAGTGTCACGTGTCAGTGTCAATAAGAGAGTTTGAGCATGGAAAAATAAAAATTAAGTGACTAAGTAAGCAGGTTTATGGGTTTATGCTTTTTTATGCTTTTTTTTTAATATCTAAGTTTTATTTTTATAGTAGAAAATTGAAAGGAAATCTTTTGAGGAGAAAACCAAATGCATATGTAGAAATGGAAAAGTTGTTGCTCATTTTGGTTTTGGAATGAATAATAGTAAAAGAATTTTATTATGAGTACATCAGGTTCTTCAAAGAAGGCTTTGGAATGACAAAAAGATTTGCTATTACTACTTAACCTACATTTAAGTTCCAAGTAATTTTTAAAAGTAGCACAATCCTGGCCGGCACCGCGGCTCACTAGGCTAATCCTCCGCCTTGCGGCACCAGCACACCAGGTTCTAGTCCCAGTCGGGGCGCCGGATTCTGTCCCGGTTGCTCCTCTTCCAGGCCAGCTCTCTGCTGTGGCCCGGGAGTGCAGTGGAGGATGGCCCAAGTGCTTGGGCCCTGCACCCCATGGGAGACCAGGATAAGCACCTGGCTCCTGCCATCGGATCGGCGCGGTGCGCCGGCCGCAGCGGCCATTAGAGGGTGAACCAACGGCAAAGGAAGACCTTTCTCTCTGTCTCTCTCTCTCACCGTCCACTCTGCCTGTCAAAAAAAAAAAAAAAAAAAAAAGTAACACAATCCTTTGTCCTCATGTAGTGCTATAGAAATTTTATATTTGCAATGACCCCACTGGATTCCTGAATTCTTAAAATTCTCTTCAGACCCATTTAATCACATTCTGCTATTACCACCCGCAGTCTTGGAAAAACCAGAAGCACAGCCTCAATGCTATTTCTTAATGTATCCTAACACCCTGCTTCAGAGCTAGTGATCTTGCCTAGATGTGTAATTTAATAAGAAAGCATGTCTCATTGTTCACTAATTTCAAAAATCACTGGTATTTTCATAAAATAGGAGAATGCTTCTAATAGAAAATGAGACAATGTGAAGAACTTCAATGAGAAAATCGAATATATAACTGAGTAGTTCAGTGAATGGTATATTTGGGTAAATTAAACTCTTCACGAGAGCATAAAGGAGCATAAAGTAATAGACCTGAGTCTGTCGTTCACAGATAAAACAGACGCAGGATGAAGAAAAGAAACAGTTAACTGCACTCCGAGACTTAATAAAATCATCTCTTCAACTTGATCAGAAAGAGGTAGGTGGTCTGTACACTCTGATCAGGGCTAAGATAGCACATGTGAGACTGTGTCCCAGTCTGCAAAGCAGGCACACCGATGGCTTCCCGCCAGGGTAGTTGTGGAAACTGATAAGATGACACATGCAAGTGTGTGCCTCCTGTGATGCACAGCACAGAGACTATTTTAGCTCCTTTTCTCTCCTTTTAAAAAAGACGACCCCTGTCTGCATTCCCGTGGCTCCAGATTTCTGATCCTGGCTTTGAAGATGTGAGCTTCAGGGGTGTATCTTCTTGGGCCGCTGATGTGTAGCAGGGGCACACCCCTGGATTCCCCTCTTGAGACTTTCTCTTTCTGGCAGCCGAAAGGGCCAAGTCTCATTTTGCCAAGGAAATATTTTAAATCCTGCAAAAGCTTTGTCCCTCAATTAGGAAGACAGAAGGTGAAATGGCCCCTACTCTACATTGTATAATAGATGTTGGATGAATGTGGTACAGAGTTTTAATTATAAATAATGTGTCAAACATTGAGTTAGTAACTGCTGTATGCCAGACACCATTCTTCAGCTTTAGTGCCTGCCATCAGGGAGGTCATTATGAAGCAGAATGAACTGGCCTTAACAAGCGCAATCAGTCGTGCCTTCCTAGTATCCATGCTATTAGAGATGCACTGGGAGACAACCTGAAGCCACAGGGAACAAATCTAGAAGGTTCTGGGATAGAAAACTGCCTGGCAGTTCAAGGGTCACAAAGAGTTTAGGGCAGAGTACATGGAAGAGTAAGAAATGTGATTTCTGAGGTGGAAGCTCAGACCTGATCGTGGACCACTAATAAGTGTGTGATGTTAATTGTGAGTACCGGGAGCAGGCGTTTAGCATAGCAGTTAAGATGCCACCCGGGATGCCTCTGCGTCCCATATTTGAGCACCTGAGTTCGAGTCAAGGCCCAGCTCCCAGTTGCAGCTTCTCCCAGTGTGCACCTTAGGAGGCAGCAGGTGATTAGTCGAGTTGTTAGGTCTCTGCCACCCATGTGGGAGACCCACATTGAGTTCCCAGCTCCTGGTTTCAACACAGCCCAGTCCCGGTCTTTGTGGACTTTTGGGAAGCAAACCAGCAGATAGGAGAGAGCTCCCATGCTTGCTGTCTTCTTCTGTCCTTCAAATGAGTAAAATTAAATAATTTTTTTAAATGTTTAGATAGTGAACACCATTGCTTACATTTCAGAGCTACTGTTTTTAAAATTCCCACATTTTCTGAACAGAGGTCATGGTTCTAAAACAAAGAAAAGGTAACCCCCTAGAACACCGGGCACCCTGCGCCTGTGACACTAGCTATTTAAAGCACCCTGAGGGTTTTCTTTACTGAGTGAATATCACCCTCTTCTTCTGCTTCTCTGAATCCAGTTTTTTGTACAGTCACTTGGTTTTGGTGAACTGAGAGAGTATCCTAGACAAGGGCCCTTGAAGATGTGTATTCTGAAAAAAAACTTTTTTGTGCTAATGTGAACAGAACCTTCCATGAATTTTTGAAGTAGCCTCAGATCCTAACCCTGGGGACCTGCTAACCCATCTGGAGTAGACGAGTGGCCAGGGACACCTGTGTGCATGCAGGGAACATCTGCACCCGTGCCATCCAGAGTCTCAGGCAGAGCCTGCAGCTGCAGTTGGAGGCCTCCAGCTGTGCTTTAGAACAACTCGTGGGTATCGGAGCCCCAGGAGACTTCATACTGAAACACGCGCACTTGACTCTTTGAACGTGCTCATTTTGAAGGTGCTTGTTGCCGACATACAAACCCGAGGGGACGCAGTCTCCTCCCTGATGATTGCTTAGTGGACGAGCAGTAAAAAGACCCAAGTGGGAGGGGGCATAAGCAGTAGAATTCTGTCAGGGAGAAAAACTGTGACTTAACCTCTCCTCTTTCTTTTGTCACATAGTATTACCTCCTTCCTATATATGTACATTTCCTTGAAAAAAAAGGGGGGGGGCCAAGAAACATGACAGTCCCTTTGTTTTGCATGGAGACTGAAGTTTTTTGCTAGCTAAAGAACAAAATATGTAAGCCAAAAGAGTATGTACACAATGACATGCACATGATTTGATTTCTTTTAATTCCACTTCAAATTAATAAATGCTGAATTTTTGTTAGCATCACGCCCGGACTGTTTTACAGGTAAAATCTCTCTTTCACAGCATGTTTGTCCCTTTCTCAAGCTGTTCATCACCTCATTGCAAACTGTGTTCAGAAAGGAATGATTTATAATAACATGGAGTAAATGTAGACTGCCCATCAGGGAGCTGTCATCATAGCACTGCTGTTTTGAGCTGTCTGAAAGATTGCTGAGGAGGGGCAGAGTTGTGATGCAGCAGATTAACCTGCTGCCTACAGTGCCAGCGTCTCATGTCGCACCCGTTCGAGTTCCGGCTGCTCCACTTCCAATCCGGCTTCCTGTTGGGTGCATTTGGGAAGGCAGCATAAGGTAGCTCAAGTTCTTGGGTCTACACTACCCACGATGGAGACATTGATGGAGTTCCTGGCTTTGGGGAGTGAAACAACATATGGGACATGGGCTCTCTCTCTCCTTCTACCCCTCTCTCTCCCTGTTACTCTCCCTCTGTCTCCAATACTCTGCCTTTCAAATAAAGATTGCCTAGAGATTAAAACACAATAGATCACTTACCCCATACACACACACACACACACACCGATTTTAACCTGGTTTCGTTAAAAGAAGTTCCAAGCATTTTAGTTGCAAATACAGATTGAGTATTCCTTATTCAAAGTGCTTGATATCAGAAGTGTTGCAGGTTTTGGAGTTCTGAGTTTTGAAATATTTGCATAGATATTAACAAGCGTGTATCCCTAACCAGAAAATCCAAAATCTATACTTTTTGAGTATTTACTCTTGAAAAGGTGTGGATTCTGGAGCATTTTGGATTTTGAATTTTCAGATTAGGGATACTCAACCTGTAGGATACGCAGAGCTTTGGAAGTCTCGTTTTTCCTAGTGAAGTCCAGTTCAGTTTTTCTTGTCTTCTGGAAGTTATTTTATGAAATTATCTTTCTCTTTTTCTCTAGCCTAACTTTCCAAAAGAAGTATTTGCTGCCTATTTTTAGGATTGAAACTATTTTATTTGTAATAGTGCCACCCACCCATCCCATTTAGGATACACTGAATCAATGCAAAAAGCCCAGCTTTCCATTTAAGTCCCTGATAAACACTGTGAAGGGCCCGGCACAGCATGGTTCACAGGTTTCACGGATGCTGTGTGTCGCTTCTCTATCTTCTTCACAGAAGCTGGCCCGTTTATCTGGTGCCCTAAAACCGCTCAGTATGTATTCAGTAAATTGAAACAAAATAGAGCCTTTCACCCAAGAAATTTAAAAGTTCCATAGGAGAAATTTAGTTTTAAATTGGATGCTAGAAACATTTTTAGCCACATTGATCAATGTGTAATTGCTTGCAGTTTAAAAAGATTTGAGGTTTTATTCCTTAATAACGCATTTTATATGTTAATATAGTTTCAGATAAAAAGGTGATTTGTCTGTACTGCTAATAAAGAAAAGGAAATTGAACTAAAAAATAATTGTTTAGTTTCATTCTGTAGTTTATATTTCCTGTCCCACATTATGTAATTTCCCCAAGGTTTTATTTTAAGTTTATTGTTTAGTGTTATATTTTTGTCCAAATGAGTTTTTCACTTGTATTTCTCTTTCTTAAGTACATGATTATGCTTCCAGAGAATTTGTACCAATTCATTTCTTTGGTTTTATGTGTGTATATTGATAATTATTATTATTACTGTAGTAATTCTCCAATACCTACTTGATCGAAAAGATCCACTTCCCATTGCCCTAGAGTGCCCTGCTGAGCAAGGCACACAAACAGTAATTGGTGTGACTTTGTTAAACATGAAACTCGTTAGTTGTTAATTTAGGTTTATTGATTGTTAATTTAGCAACATTTTGAAACATCCTACTTCCTTCCTGCTCAGTCTAATGAGGTCCAAAGCCTAGATGTAACGACTTTGTTCACCTTTAAAAGCGTATTTATCTGATGTTAAAATGAACCCATTCAGTCTGTTTGTAACTGAGAATTTAGTAATAAATATATGTAAGGAATGACTAAATGGTAACTTTACCAAACAGTAGTTTTCATAAATCACAGACTTTTAGAGCTTAGCAAATGCGTCAGAGCTAGAGAAGTGTTGGTTTAAAACATCACACAGACCTGAGAGTTATGCAGGCAGAAAAGTGTAGGTTCTGACCAAGGATCTGAGGAAGGGGTGGTTTGCTTTAGTAAGAGTTGATATCCAAGGGGATGTAGATTTTGTTTCTAATAGATCCAGAAGGTAGATTAGACCCTGGAGCCCTGCGGAGAGGGGGCCCATACGACCCATCACTTTTCTTCAGCACATAGCCCGTCTTCTCACTGCCGTGTTCCTAGAGCTGGTGCGGGCTGTAACCTCCTGACTAGTTACCTGACTAAATCTGTAGTTGAACAGTTTTCCTATAATTTCATTTGATTAAAGCAGACACCTGCGGATATCTTATCCCTGCCTCTTGTTTTGTCCCACCACTCAGCGCCCCGCACTGAGCTAATCTTCGATCTTGTTTTCTTCTTTGTTAGAGTTAGGAGCACGCTCCTCTACGTTCCCACTGTTGTTGCTGGGGTCTGTCCCTAGAGGCTGTGCTTCCTCCGCCTGTTATTTAGGGCAGTCCCTCAGTCCTGTCTACATCCAGGAAGCATGGCCACATTACGTGGAGGTTAGGGCTCTGGGCCCTGATTAAAAGTAAACATTCAGGGGAATTTTGCAAGAGATTTCTAGATCCCAGTCTAGGTTCCACCCCTATCCCAGTGACTTAAATTGTCCAATCAGATGGTTAAGTTGGAGGGAATCTCGGCTGTTGAAGACAGAGGGATGACTCCACCTAAGGAAATACTTAGGTTTATAGTGTCTTTCATGTGAGTCAACGAGTCTTGCTCTCGTTCACTTGCACCAGATAACAGGGCAGTGATATAGTCAGAGTGTGAACATCCATCTCACACCAGGGCTTGTGTCCTGTTCAGGTCGCTTAATACCTGGCTTCTAGGAGGTGTTCAGGACTTGTATTTGAACACAGAACTTCTCATGCCTAGAATAGTCTTACAAAGGTACGCTGTCCTATAGATTTTTCTTTCAATTGTTTGCATCTCTGAATACACACTATCCAGCCCAAAAGGATTCTAAATGCCAGACAGAAGCCCTTTGGCTTTCAGGATATGCCATACACAACATGTCATCAGCAATGACAAGTGCTCATTATTTAAGAAAAAAAAAAACAAAAAACAAAGACTCCTATAATTTGCAGCTCTTATTAGATTTTCTGAGTAACTAATTTTGGGTTTTAGTGAGGTGTTGATTCCTTGCACACTCATGCATGAGGTTTGCCAACCATTTTGTCCTGGTGAAATGTGTACTTCTTTGCTTCCACTCTGCTGTGTTTCTGAGTCTACTCAACATTACCTGAAGTAAAATTTGATATTTTATTGTCCCATCACCCAGTATGACAATTTTAAAGGTATGTGTTGCCTAGTTTTAATGTTGTTTACAATGATGTTTTCTATGTGTATAATATAAACTGCTTAAATTATGTGTGGTAAGATTTTCAATGAAATTAACTCTTATTTTCACATGTCTGCCTTTTTTCTCTGTTGCTTTTGCCCTTCCTGATCGAAGTCTAGGAGAGTAAGTCACTATTTTTTTGTGAGAATATATTATCTTACATACATGTCTGAACACTCATGTTCTCCTTTTGCAGCTCAGCATTGTTCATTTATTTATTACATTTTCATAATGTATGGCTGTTTCAAGTCGTGCAGTCTTTGGTGGTTAAGTGGCCAGTGGAATGCTGACATGAAGCCAAGCTTATGTGTGTCTCTGCTGTTGATCTTGCCCTTGTCACCTTCGTCACCACATCATACACTTGATACTGACTAGAATCATCTTTTTCAATACAAAATATGGTTATAGCTATATTTAAAGAGCACTAGTTAGTTAAAAACAAAGAGACAAGGGCTGTATGGTAATTGTTAGCACCTCTCTCGGGAGTCACCCCTTTGACTGGTGGTAACCAGCAGAAAAAGGAGTAGAGGTGCAGCCCACGGGAAGAGCATGTCCAGGCTGTGTGTTTCTGTTCTTGGTCCACTTCAGTTTACCAGTCCTCCTTGCATTTGCTTCTGCTGCTGCTGTGTAAACTGGCGTGAGTCATTTGATGGCACACAGCACATTGTGTTTGTTTGAATTCAGTTCACAGTAGAGCTGGGTTCTGAACTAGCAATAAGGGACCTACACCCCGGGCCCCAGCCCTGACTTGAACCTGGGACTTGTGGCTTTTGCTCCTGATTACCTGCCCTGTTTCTTCCTCTAAGATAAAGGCAAGGACCTGGCAGCTCAGAGTTCTAGAATTCTCTTCCATCCAGACCAGTAGGCAAAGACTCAGTAGCAGAGTAGAGACAAGGATTTGAGAATCATCTTCAATGTTTGTTAAACGTGCACGTTCTCTTTCCTAGGATTCCCAGAGCCGGCAAGGAGGTTACAGCATGCACCAGCTCCAGGGAAACAAGGAGTATGGCAGTGAGAAGAAGGGCTACCTACTGAAGAAGAGTGATGGGTTCGTATGGGCCTCCTCTCCCCCAGGGCCCCAGGTGTAATTAGCATGCCTACTGGGTGTTCTTACCTGGGAACTTTTCCAGCCTCTCAATAGGAAAACGCACACCAGAGTTTGCTAGGACACTAGCTACAGACCTTTAGCACACTGCTTTTAGTAACTCTTAAGTTTTAAGCTGCTGTCTTTAGTAGAAGATTGTTCTGTGACCCCTCAATGGCACCTCTGGTCTGTAACCTTCAGTTTAGGAAGGTAGGTTCTGAGTAGCATATGAAGCAGGCAAATGCTCACCTCATACCCACCTGTCCCTCTGCTTTTATTCATTGAGGGTTTTCTCTGAGTGGGATGCCCCACCTCAACCTGGGGATCACCTTGGACTCCTCTGTCTCCTTTTAAATCAGTCTAACTAAAGCCTTTCCTCTTTCAACTTGAAAATAACAGACTTCTTGGTGTCTCCACTACCCTGCTCTAGATGAGCCATTGTCATCTCTCCTGGATGGTGTCGGAGCCTCCCGAATGGTCTCACTGTGTCACTCACTCTTCTCCTTCTCCGGTTCCACCTCTTTCTTGTACTCAGTGTGGTCTTCTCAGAAGTGCCGTTCCCCTGTTTATAGGACTCCAGTGGTTTACTGTTGTAGTTAGCATCTCGGCCGGGCCTTCCTCCCCAGCCTCCTCTGGCCCCATTTTCTGCTCTGGCCTTGCCACCCTGCCCTTCTTTCTGTTGCTTGAATGAGTACTTCTGCTTTGTAGCAAATGTATACTTAGAAATTTGATTTTCCTGTTTTCTATCATCCTTTTTTAAATGAAAGATCCTTGTTTTCTGATTGTGGACGTGCTTCTTACCTTTATCTAAGATGTGCACATTTTTTAGTTTTAATTTCTTGAAAGTTAATGTAGGTTTCTGTGACTGTTTTGCTTGTAACTCTGTTTGCATTCAGCAAGTGCCTTCCGAGAACCCTACTATATATCTTGGACTCATTCTTCTAGGCACTGGGAATATAACATTGAACCAAAGTCCTTACCCTTAGAGAGCTTATATTCTAAGAGGGGAAACAGATACCAGTAAGTAAAAACATGGTAGATAGATATGGACAAAGATGAAGCGAAGCAAGAAAAGATGCTGAGAGTGGTTCCTGCTACCATAGAGGTGGTCAGGGAAGATTTTGCTGAGATGATGTTTGAGCAAAGAACTGAAGGAAGGGGAGGAACAAACTAGATACCTGGGAAAGAGGGAGTGGCCAGGAGTGCAGCAGAGCTGGAGTGAGCCAAGAGATCCCAGGAGATGAAGGAAGAGGGAGCCAAGCCACTGGGGCTTTGGAAGCCACTGAGTGGGACTGGGAATCACTGGAGGATTTTGAGCAGATGAGTGACAGAATCTGAGGTGTTCTGAAAGATTTGCTCTCGCTGGCTGCCATGCTAAGAATGGTTGTGTAGGCCACAAGGGCAGGAGCAGTGTCAGGACACTGTTGCACAAACCCAGACGGGAGGCGATAGTGCAGACCCTGGAGCAGCAGTAGAAGTCATAAGAAGTGGTCAGATGGTGACCAAGGAAGGTAGGACCAACAGGACCTGTTGATACCGGGTATAAAGGAAAAGACGCCTCAACACTTGGCACAGTGTCAAGTTTATCACAGAGCATGAAGTCCTGCTAGAAGTAAGAGATGATGGGGCCAGTGCTGTATGTAGCATGTAAAGCTGCCATCTGCAATGTGGCATCCCATGTGGGCACTAGTTCGAGTCCTGGTTGCTCCACTTCTGATCCAGCTTCCTGCTAATGCTCCTGGGAAAGGAGTAGAAGATGAGCAATCCCATGGACCCCTACATCTACATGGGAGATCCAGATGAATCTCCTGGCTCCTGGCTCCAGCCTGGCCCAAGCCTGGCCATTGTGGTCAATTTGGGGAGTGAACCATTGGATGATTCACTCTCTCTCTCTCTCTCTCTCTCTGTAACTCTGCCTTTAATATAAATAAAAAATTTTTAAAAAGAAAAAGGAGAAAATAAATCCCTACCACCAAGACCATGGGACCAAGTATACATAAACTCACTTCCAATGTTGGTCCTTTTCCCAGTCATCTATGATACAGGCATTTCTTCTAAATGTGACAGCTTGTTCTTCCTCCATCAAAAAGACAGTTAATGTGTTCTGTTGTGAGAAGTGGTGTACTATTACATGTCTTTTGAAGCAAAGTATGGAACCATTTTTTTCCTAACACTCCTCACCTAAAGCCACAACAGTTTTCTTGAAAATATTACAATCTGTTCCTAAGTGAAGCCATTAACATTTATATGCTCAAGGAAGATCAAAAAGTCTTTCCATTAAGTGTTTACTTCACACACCCTAATACATTCAAGGAAATTATCATCTTGTGAGCCATCCTCCCTCTACCTGTCACACTGCGGGATGCCTCTCTCTCTTCTCATTGGAGACCTTTTACAAAGAGAGGAAATAATTTAACTGAGATCAGACAGACAGTAAGTACGAGAGCCCAGACTTGAACCAACCTGATCTTCTAACTTCACGTCAGGTATCTCCCCTTCCTATGAAAAAGGAAACACAGTTCTATTGTTACCCCTTGGGTATGCACGCCAGAAACTCACCTCCACTCCTCCATTCTTTTGTTCTGTTGTTCATGCCCTCAGTGCACACACACTGGTGAAAAACCCTTGTGCCTGGGGCAGTCTACGATGCTGGAAGGTACAGTAGATGCAGTGTGGTCCTCACCCTCACCTTGCCTGCAGTCTGTTAGGAGATCATGAAAGACGGTCACATCTTGAAGTTGGCATCAGACAGTCCACTCTTGTAATAATTGAACAGGCAGGAAAAACAAACAATAATGATCCAGGATTGCTTGTGATTGCTTGCTATGAAGGAGGGAAAAGTTGAAGTGCTTAGACATGAAGACAGTAATTTGTTCATAGTATGTGGGTTTTTTTGTTTGGGTTTTGGTTTTTATTTGTTTTTGTTTTTGTTTTGCTGACCCTAATTTTGGAATACTTCTTATTCCTTAAAGGTTACTTGTAGAATTTGATAAACAATTTAAAAGTTTTTAAAATAAGTTTAATACTTTGTGCCCCTAAGGCATTTACTGAGAATCAAAGGAGCAATTGCTTTACACATATTTTCTCAAAATAGTCCCAGAAGGTGGGCATTATGATCTTCATGATTTAGACAGAGAACATGAGTTCCCTTGGACCCCACATGAGCAACATCACGTGTGCATGCGCAACATCATGTGTTCATGGGCAGCATCACATAGCTAGTGGTGGTGGCTCTGGGACCAACGCCCAAATGATCCAGTATTGAGGTTGGTACCTTCTAATGGATACTTTCTTTTCTGACATTCTGAGATTCTAACTTGGAATGACCTGTGTGGCACTGCCCAGACATCAGATGGCAAGAGTCCCAATATGTCCATTCAGGAGCCACACAGACTCAAGCATCCATAAAGCTTTCAGTACAGACAGGTGACTCAAGAGGAAACGTTATCAGAGTGTTCACAAAAACCCTGTGAAGCTGCTCTGCCTGTGAGGACATATCTTAAGATCGTTTCCTTTTCGTCTGGCAATCTGGATGCACCTCATTAACGATCTCCATTACCCTAAAAAATGAAAGCTTTTGTATTACTTTCCTTAGCTGCATTTGTTTTTTGTTTTTTTTTGTTTTTTTACAGGCAGAGTGGACAGTGAGAGAGAGAGACATAGAGAGAAAGGTCTTCCTTTACCGTTGGTTCACCCTCCAATGGCCACCGGGGCCGGCGCACCGCGCTGATCCGATGGCAGGAGCCAGGAGCCAGGTACTTATCCTGGTCTCCCATGGGGTGCAGGGCCCAAGCACCTGGGGCATCCTCCACTGCACTCCCTGGCCACAGCAGAGAGCTGGCCTGGAAGAGGGGCAACCGGGACAGAATCCAGCGCCCCAACAGGGACTAGAACCCGGTGTGCCGGCGCCGCAAGGCGGAGGATTCTTAGCTGCATTTGTTATACAAGAGAATATAGGTATCTTTATATCTTATGTTTCCTTAATACATAGGTGTAGAAAGAACTTGCGAGCAATAGAACTTTTAAAATAGAATAAACATACCGAGTATAGGGACAGGTTTGCCCGAGATTGAATCCTTTGGTTGTTGGGTTTGATATTTTAAAATGAGTTGCTGGCGTTGATGACACTAGTTTTGACTTAGTGGATGCAGGGAATACTTCCTTCCTCCTGAGTGGCTTTTGTGAAGTTAGATGAGATGCAGGATTACCTGCAGAGAGCTGGTTATATTAACCAAGTGCAGGAGTGACTTTTCGACAGAAAGTAACTCTAACCACACATTTCTCTGGTCAGTGCTAGCAGAAGAAAGTCTGTGATTTAGCTGTAGTTTGAGGACAGTGTGTCAGTTAGTGGTTGTAAATTACCTACAAAGGACCCCTGCATTTTGAGTACATTATGTTCAGTTTACCTTCGGTGAGACGCTTTCTTCTCCCGTGAGCAGGCTTTGGAACAAACTCTGCTTCTAGTTGTTACATGTCCCAGAAGACAGACAGTCTGCTTTTAGAGTTGGTGTAAATTTGTGTTGGCGTTTTTCTTAGAGGACTGATTTAAGAAGGGAAAGAAAAACACAAGATTATGTTCTTTTCAGTTCCTAGGAAATTACAGTGGTCTCCTCAGATGTCATTTGTTTCTGTGGCAACAGAAGGCCCATGAAGCCTCCTCTCAGGGAATTCCTGCTTTAGGCCCATTTCTGTTCACCTGATGGATGTGGGAGGTACATCGCTGCCTCCCTGCACATGTGTGGATCTACCCCATGTGCAGTCTCTGCCTTCCCCTAGAGCGTCACCAAAAACGCAAGTTGAAAATAGTTCTCTGGCCTTTTCCATCCTTTGGCATCATCAAACCAAATTTTTCAAAGCGTGTGTCACAACTACTGATTCAGACATAATTTACTTCCCCATGTGAATCATGAACAGTTCTCTTTTCAGTGATGCTGGCAGCATCGTGTTTTGCTCTAGAAGACCCTTAAAAAAGAGGTGTGTGAGTTACCAGAAATGATGATTACACATTCCAGATGCCTGGACCCTAAAAGTTCTTTATCTTGAGGCAGCCTCACTCCCCTTCTTCCTTGCATAGCAGATCCCTTACTTTAAAAAATTGATTAGAGTTTAAAAAAAGTGGAAAGAGTGCCGTTTCAGGGAAGAGTTAGGGAGAAAATAGCAGAGGAAACGCTACACAAATTGGAGGGACACACTGGACCTACATGGTGGGCAAGGACCCGCACAACTCAGGACCCAGCAGCCGAGACCCTCTGCACCAACCAGCATTGGGCAAATGAGGTGAGACTAGATTGTAGCAGCCCAAGCCAGGAAGAGCCTAGAGGGAATTTGGCTTGAAGCCTATAGGGGATAGTGTACCTGCCAAACTAGAGGGGAAAAAACAAAAGGGTGACACATTTCCTCTCTCCCCAATCACCTTGCAATGGCATCTTATAACAAGCTGAAAGAGAGCAGGCACCATTTTGGCCATATGTAACAGCTGTGCCAGAAAATATCCCCACTCAGCATCCAGCCAAGTGAAGATTCCTGAGTGTTGGGGAGAACAGACAAGGGGCTGGGTGCTTGTCACTGGGAGGCTTGTGTGCCAGGACTGTGAAAACACTGAGGCTGCATGGGAGGACTCAGGGTGTGGCTGGGATTTGGACAGTCACTGTGGCCAGCTCCACATGATCAGGGATCCCTGGTTACTTTACAAGGGGTATTGCTGGGAAACCTAGAAGAAATGGATAGATTCCTGGACACATACAACCTACCTAAACTGAGCCATGAAGACAGAGAAAACCTAAACCGACCCATTACCAAGACAGAAATTGAACCAGTAATAAAGACCCTCCCAACAAAGAAAAGCCCAGGACCAGATGGCTTCACTGCTGAATTCTACCATTTAAAGGGGAACTAACTACAATTCCTATGAAGTTATTCACAACAATTTAAAGGGAGGCAATCTTAAATTATTTCCATGAAGCCAGCATCACCTTTATTCTTAAACCCAGAAAAGATGCAACAGAGAAAGAGAACTACAGACCAGTTTCCCTGATGAACATAGATGCAAAAATCCTCAACAGAATTCTAGCCAATTGAATCCAACAATACATCAGAAAGATCATTCACCCAGACCAAGTGGGATTTATCCCTGGCATGTAGGGATGGTTCAACATTCGCGAAGCAATCAGTATGGTATATCACATTAGCAAAGCATATGATTATCTCAATAGATGCAGAGAAAGCATTTGATAAAATACAACACCATTTCATGATGAAAACTTTAAGCGAATTGGGTATAAAAGGAGCATTGCTGAACACAGTCAAGGCAGTTTATGACAAACCCACAGCCAGTGTCCTATGCATTGGGGAAAAGTTGGAAGCATTCCCACTGAGATCCAGAACCAGATAAGGATGCCCCTCTCAACCTTGTTATTCAGTATAGTCCTGAAAGTTTTAGCCAGAGCCATTATGCAAGAAAAAGAAATCAAAGTGATACAAATTGGGAAAGAGGAAATCAAACTATCTCTATTTGCAGATAAAATGATTCTGTATGTAGGGAATCCAAAAGACTCCATCAAGAGACTAATGGAACTCATAAAAGAGTTTGGTAGAGTAGCAGGATATAAAATCAGTACATAAAAATCAACAGGCTTTGTATACACAGACAATGCCCTGACTGAGAAAGAACTTCTAAGATCATAATAGCTACCAAAAAAAAATCAAATACCTTGGAATAAATTTACCAAGGATGTCAAAGATCTCTACGATGAGAATTACAAAACATTGAAGAAAGAAATACATTAAAGAAAGATTTAAAAAGCACTGGAAAAATCTTCCATGTTCATGGATTGGAAGAATCAATATCATCAAATGTCCATTGTTCTGAAAGCAATTTATAGATTCAGTGTGTCTCAGATCTAGAAAAAATGATGCTGAAAGTCATATAGAAACACAGGAGACCTCAAATAGCTAAAGCAGTCTTATACAACAAAAACAAACCTGGAGGCGGTATAATACCAGATTTCAAGATGGGTTCTGGTACAAAACAGATGGATAGAACAGCCTGGTACTGGTATAAAAATGAATAGACCAATGGAACAGAATAGAAACACCAGAAATCAATCCAAACATCCACAACCAACTTACATTTGACCAAGGAGCTAAAGCCAGTCCCTAGAGCAAGCACAGTCTCTTCAATAAATGGTACTGGGAAAACTGGATTTCCACATGCAGAAATATGAAGAGGACCCCTACCTTAGATCTTATTTTAAAATCCATTCAAAATGGATTAAAGACCTAAATCTATGACCTAGTGTCATCAAATTAATTAGAGAACTTTGGGGAAACCCTGCAAGATATTGGCACAAAGAGTTCTTGGAAAAGACCCCAGAGACATAGGCAGTCAGAGATAAAATTAACAAATGGGATTACATCAAATTGAAAAGTCTCTGTACAGCAAAAGAAACACTCAGGAAAGTGAAGAGGCAATTGACAGAATGGGAGAAATTATTTGTAAACTATGCAATTATTGATAAAGGATTAATAATCAGAATATATAAAGAGATCAAGAAACTCCACATCAACAAAACGAACAGCCCAGTTAAGAAATGGGCAAAGGACTTAAACAGACGTTTTTCAAAAGACGAAATCCAAATGGCCAAAAGACACATGAAAAAAATACTCAGGATCACTACCCTTCATGAAACGCAAATCAAAACCTCAATGAGGTTTCACCTCGCCCCAGTTAGGAAAGCCAAGACACTGTGGCAAAAAGAAGTCCTACATGAAGGATCTTTGTGAGAGAGACCCCAGTGGAAAGAAATGTCCATCAAAGGAGAAGAGAACTTCCACTTTGCTTATGACCTTGTCTAAATTTTATTTATTTATTTTAAAGAATAATGTATTTATTCAAATGGTTTCCATAGCCTTGACAGCTCATGTCAAGTGCCTCAGGTGATCACTGACACCATACATAGCAGTGTTAATTGTTGAATTAGCAACAGTAGTCACTGCAGTTACTTCCCTTGCAGGACTTCTGTCCTCAATGAGTTGTATTAAGAGAATTAACTGTAAAACTTGTTCTCAGTTTTATAGTTTTGCGTGTGTGTGTGCAAATTGTTGAAATCATTAATCTTAGTATAAAATTGGTCTTCTATGTATAAAATTAATTGAAAATGAATCTTAATGGAGAATAGGACTGGGAATGGGGAGGAAGAGTTGGAGTGTGATTGGCGGTTGGAGGGCAGGTATCGTAGAAGGAAGAATCACTGTATTCCTAAAGTTGTACTTAGAAATTAGTACTCATAAAAGGTTTCTTTAGGGAAAAAATAGATTAGTTACAGAAGTAATCAACACAGCTTTCCTATAAAAGATTCACAGATACAAGTGTGTTTAACACTTATTAGCACATTCCCTAAGATCTGGGTCCCCTTTCCAGAGAGGAAAATTTTATCTGTTTGGTAACTGCAATTCATTCATTCACTGTCCTGCTATTAGATTTCTCTGGTTTCTGTTTCCCATGTTCTCTATCAGAAGCCGTGCTGTAGGAGCAGACATTTAGGCTAGCAGTTAAGTTGTCTGTGTCCCAGTTTGGAGTATGTAAGTTCAATACTTGACTCGACTTCCTGCTGATGTAGACCCTGGGAGGTAGCAGTGATCACTAACCAGAACCTAGATTGTGTTTCAGACTCTGATTTTGGCCCCAGTCAAGCTCTAGCCATTGCAAAAATCTGGGGAATGAACCTGTGCATGGGAGTTCTCCTTCTCTGCGTCTGTCTTTCTCTGTCTTTCCCACTCTCTGGTTCTCAAATTAAAAAAAAAAAATTTTGGAAGGTGTTTGGTACAGCAGTATTGGGGTACCACATCCCATGTTGGAGTGCCTGGTTCCAGTCCCAGCTCCCCCATTTCCTATCTGTCTCCTTACTACTGTGCATCCTAGGAGGAGCAAATAATGGCTGAAGTACATGGGTCTCTGCCACCCATGGTAGAGACCTGGATGGAATTGGAGGCTCCTGACATCAACTGGACCCAACTCTGGTTATTGCAGGCATTTGGGGAGTGGACCAGTGAATGGAAAAATCTCTCTCTCAAACATATAAGTAATATTTTTGTTAAATAAAATTTTTAAGAAGGGAAGAGTGCTGTAATGAGCATCCTTGTTCATGCATGCTCATCTGAATTACCTTCTGCTTGGTATTTAAAAAAAAAAAAAAGGAAGGATTTTGTGTTGTATATAGCTTTGGGCTGGGGTGGGTTTTTGTAGGTATTATTATGCCTCGCACTTGTAACTGCTTGTCCCAGAGTAAATCAGATACTATATCCAGTTTGTTTGACTTACTCCTCAGGATCCGGAAAGTATGGCAGAGAAGGAAATGTGTTGTCAAGAATGGGATTCTGACCATCTCACATGCTACAGTAAGTGTGTCTGCTAATTTTCTCCGCTCATTTGTTATGCTTTCTGGTGATGAGATGTAGCTAGCATGAAATCCAGTAGTGAAAGTTTGCCCAAGTATGTTTGTGTATGGATTTGGGTCAGATAGTTTAGAATATTCTTTTACTAAAACAATGAGTTTTGTCTTGTGATTACCTGCGTCATTCTGTGGCCTCATCAGAAACTTTTTTTTTAACTCTCCCGAAGCTGAATGAATCAGGGGTTGGCTGATTTTATAATCTTTTGGGAATTATTATTGATGCTTGTTCTGAAAAAAGCCTATTTTTCTGTATTACAAAGATGACAGGGGATGGTTTTGTCCAAAAAATGTAATGTAGAAAACAATACAGTCAAAAATGTTCAATCTTCGTAGTCAAAGAAGTGTGTAGTAAGACAAATGATTGCTATTTTGACCTTTTTAAAATAGCTAACAATTCTTTTCAATTTAGAGATGCAAAGGTTATAATGGAAAGTGAATTGAGCAGAATGGAAATGACAAAATGTATATACCAGATGTCTCTACAAAGTTGGATGCAGTTTAATTTGGTGATGTCAGCTCTGAGAGTAAACCCATTGTTTAATTGCAGTATCCTGGGCCAGCTGATGTCTTTGAATTGTGATAAACAAGATAGTAAACAGGCAAGATGAGCATTTATTATTACATTGGCAATGTTTTGTTACCTACAGCCGAGTTTAGGTTTCTCCCTATTAAGAAGGAAAAGAGGTACCATCTGCCTTCCTAAAATCTGTTTCCATTTAATCCTCCCAACATCTAAGGTGATAGTCTTCACCTTAGATGAAGAAACTCAGCCGTGATGAAGAGCTATAGTTCCAGGTCAGAAGTGCAAACTCAGGTCTGGCTGACCTTAGTTTCTGCGGCCCTCCTGTTTCTCTTTTCTGCAGAACCCTCATCTGACTTAGACCATAAGCTCCTGCAGGTTCTCATATCTGGCCCTGTTCATCTTTCTGACTTCCGTCCCTCACACAGAGGTGCTCTGTGCACACTCGTGTTCAAGTCCTTCCTGGCAGGGTGTTGCACACCTCTTAAAGTTTGTTGTCCTTCATGGAACTAGAGCAGTTGCATCACCTCTGTCCCTTGCAGAACTCACAGAACCCTTGTGGTATTTCTACAGGTTTCAGCAGTCTCCCTCAGCCCTGCTGAGATTTTTAGCTGTCATGTGACCAGCCACCTGTTTATCACACATCCTGCTGACAGACCTTGGTCAGTTAATAATTACCATTGATATTATCTAATAATTATTCATTCATTCAGCAGGTTTTTTTTTTTTAAGCTTCCATTCCACCATGTGCTAGGTTAGACCTAAAGGATACATGGGTAGAAAACTAAGTAATTTTGACCTGGTAGTACTTGATAATTAGATTCCATACGCAGTCTTCTGCATATATTAAATGAAAATTCCTGGCCATTTAACAATGTAGATTGTGTGGTTTTAGCCAGAGTTTGACTATATGTCCCCTAACTCTTTGCCTTCTGCTAGAGAATCTTTCCATAGAATGCTGGCAATGGCAGTCCTCGAGAGGCATTTTTAACAAGTTACATAATGACCTTGTGTCCCTGCTGCTCTTAGAATCTGCTGTGGAAGGCAGTGCAGTGTAGCGTAATGGGAGATCACAGAGTTGACAAAGTGAATCAGTGCCGTGCCTGCTAGTTATGTGACCTTGGGCAATTTGCTAAAAATAAAATTAAAAAATTATTTCCCCCCCTTCGTTTTTCTTTAATGCCAGAATACATGACTGTGGCCAGGCCAATGTTTATATGTGTTCTTAAGCCTCCAATTAACAACAAATATCACATCTGTCATGTTGTTTTAATAGCTAAGAGAATTGACTGCAGATCTGGGAATGAATCCTGGCCTTGTCATTTACTATGTGATCTTGAGAAAAGTAATAAAGTCAAAAAGACCATATAAGCATTGAATAGGATAACATATCTTGTGTCACATTCATTTAATAGTTGTTTTTGCTACTACTGTTGGTTCATTGGTTGTCATCAACAGTACTGAAATCTGCTGATAGCCCCTTCTGCTCCAAATTTTCCTGCCCCCAGAGCAGCCCAGGGGAAGGTGGCCCCTCCCCGACTTCTGATTCCCTCTCATTGACATGTGCTGTGTCCCACTTTTCGTTGGCTGTTGGCCAGACTTTTTTTGCTGCCAGTTACATCAGTGGTAATCCCACTTGTACTCCCACAGAAAAGTCTGGCACAGTTTTATCAGGGTTTTCCTGATTTTGCAAACACTCTCTATTACTTAGAATTAGGCTGAAAAAAAAAAAGGCCAGTAGTTTTCTTTGAAAACAAATGGATTTCGTGACCTTGAAAAAAGTGGGAAAAAGATTTTGTTGTCAGAAAACTTGAGGCCTTTAAAAAAAAAAAAAGATTTATTTATTTATTTGAAGGCAGAGAGAGAGAGGGAGGGAGGGAGGTCCTCCACTAGTCCACTTCCCAGATGGCTGCAATGTCTGGAGCTACACTGATACAAAGCTAGGAGCCTCCTCCTGGTCTCCCAAGTAGGTACAGGGGCCCAAGGCTTTGGGCCATCTTCCACTGCTTTCCCGGGCCACAGCAGAGAGCTGGATCAGAAGTGGAGCAGCTGGAACTCGAGTTGGTGCCCATATGGGATGCCGGCACCACAGGTGGTAGCCTTACCCACTACGCCACAGTGCCGGCCCCAAACTTGGAGCCTTTGAAAATTACTGTGTCACCTTTAAGAATTGTTCTTATCAAAATTATTCAAAGGAAGGACAGGAGTTCCCTCAGATTAACTGTGGGGAGCAACTCGGACTAGACTGTTACTGGAATTAAGACTTATTCTATGCATCTGCTCACCCACAATATGGCGCTGGGAGAGGAGGAAATAGCTTCTACACAGCTGCCTCTCGCCAACTTGAGTGATGACCTGCAGGAGCTGATCCTGCTCCTGATTGGAGGAGAGCAGCGTACTCAGCGTGTGGGTAGCAGAGTTGGGATTGGTGAAAGAGGACTATAAAGGAGGAGAGAGACAGCATGCACCAGGAACACCTGAAGGAACACCTAAGCAGCCCCCGAGAGAGCCGGCCGGTGGTGTGCCGCTCCCCCGCGGAAGTGGGGAAAGTGGCAGGGGGAATCGCCCTTCCACTGAGGTAGAAGGTTCGGTAGCCAACCCGGGAAGAACCAGCAGCAAACCCGGGGAGGGCCGAGCAGACAAAAGAACAGCGCAGGGTCCTGTGTCGTTCCTCCGCGAAGAGGGGGAGCGACAATTAACCTGTGAGGTCTGTTGGGTTGGCATTTACCAGTATATGATCTGCTCCAGGGGCCATTCATCTCCCCAGTTTTTCTAGGGAAAAATACATTTCTGTGTATCCCCAAGAGATTTTTTTTGCCCACCCCTAAAAGATTTCATCTATGAATTCAATTCAAAAACATAATTTTTTTTATTTACTGTGCAAAGTAATGTAGCACTGCAAGAATCAAATTCAGTGGGAATCTTTGAATTTGCTTTAAAATAATACTATTATGACAGCAGCTTCCAGCTGTGGACCATCTAGAATAAGTAGAGTAAGATGCTTTCATTTCAGAGTACCAATTCTAATAAACCCACAGCAAACATTTTAGCCTGAAAAACACTCAAGTATTGGGAAGTTTGTGTGAAGGCACTGAACCATTATAAATAGATTACTATACCTTTATTTGCTTTCCTTTCATTTCTTCTAAAAGCATTATTGTATAAATAAATATAAAAGAAGTAATATATAAGAAACATAGTTCAAAGTCTTACATTATTGTAGTAGTCCTGAAAAAAATAATTTCAAAAGTTTAAGAAGCTGAGCCTTTCAAAAACTCGCACTCCCTGAATTTATGAACCTGTTTCATTTATTCAAATAACTGCCACTTACAGAGCACTTAGGTGTGCCCTCCTGCTAATCCTCAAGAGCGCTCTAAAGACGGATACCACTGTTGTCATTTCTCCCAAGACTGCAGTTCTTAGGCAGTAGGGACCGGGTCTTGGTCATCTTTGAATTCATTCCGATACTGAACTTGCCTGACGTAGTTAGTAGTCAGTGAATACTTTTTAGTTTTTGGATTTTTTTTTTCCCCCAAAGGAATCTCTTATTTAAGGAATACAAAGTTCATGCATTTCATAAGTACAACTTTAGGAATATTCTAATAGGAGTGATTCTTCCCACCATACCTGCCCTCCAACCCACACTCCCACCCCTCCTCCTCCCCCTTCTCCCATTCCCAGTCCCATTCTCCACTAATATCCATTTTTTATTAACTTTATACATAGAAGATCAACTCTATACTAAATAAAGAATTGAACAATTTGCACAAAAACAAAACTGTGCCTCAGCAGTCAAGACAAGGTCTGTTTAAAGTCATTGCAGCTTGAAGTTAATTTCACTTTTTTTTTAAGAACCTTAATTAACTTTCTTTTTTTTTTTTTTAACTTTTATTTAATGAATATAAATTTCCAAAGTACAGCTTATGGATTACAATGGCTTCCCCCCCATAACTTCCCTCCCACCCACAACCCACCCCTTTCCCTCCCCCTCCCCCTTCCATTCACATCAAGATTCATTTTCAATTCTCTTTATATACAGAAGATCAGTTTAGCATATATTAAGTAAAGATTTCATCAGTTTGCACCCACATAGAAACACAAAATGAAAAATACTGTTTGAGTACTAGTTATAGCATTAAATCACAATGTACAGCACATTAAGGACAGAGATTCTACATGAGGAGTAAGTGCACAGTGACTCCTCTTGTTGACCTAACAAAATGACACTCTTGTTTATGGCATCAGTAATCACCCTAGGCTCTTGTCATGAGTTGCCAAGGCTATGGAAGCCTTTTGAGTTCACCAACTCTGATCATATTTAGACAAGGTCGTGGTCAAAGTGGAAGTTCTCTTCTCCCTTCAGAGAAAGGTACCTCCTTCTTTGATGACCTGTTATTTCCACTGGGATCTCACTCGTGGAGATC